CACGATGATTGGAGACTTGCACCATAGGTTGACCACCCTGTAATAATTACATACTTGAGAACTTCAGGTGAAGATGCGTCGACAATTTTGCTGAACCGGCGTGTCTTATTCGCAATCACCATACATTTCTGTTTATTTTTATAGAATGTATTACGTTTCCACACACACAGGGTGTCCCACCTGCGCTCAGAGCTTCCCAAGCTGCAGCCTGATGCTCTCCCGCCTTAGCTTCGCCGGCCTAATTAGTGAACTGAGGCATTTTCAGCTAACTTCGGGCCGTGCTCGAGACCAGAGTCAGAACTACAATACTTTACCATTTGAATCTAAAGTTTAAGCATTACTTTCTAGGGACTGACAGAGTCCACATCCTGGACTTCTCCAGAAAACAGAGCTGATACTTTAGAACAAGATGGAGCAGGATTGGAGATATCAGCATTAAACGAGAAATCAAAGAGGCAGAAACGAAAACAGGATCCAGGTTCTGCCAAAATTATCAATGAGGTACCATTTATTGGTGATTGAACAATAAATGGAAGGTTTTACTTTGCTTCGCTCATTTTTATATAGTTTTGAAAAACTCTAGCCATTCTCTAATAAAACCAGTCAGACGCAAAACTGAATAGTCACCTCGTGGCTCCCTGTTAAATGCACTTAAAACAGTTGGCTAGCTTTCACTTTGAGTTTTCGTCGGCAGTTTTTTATATTTTCACTTTCTAAAATAGGCTTTTGTGATTATTTGGGTTTTTGCCCCGCGACCTAAATGAGAATAGCGCTGTAGTAGGGGGGTTATATGGTATTAAGGGGGAACGGAGGGGGGATAATCATCGCCAATAGGGGGGACTCAAGAAAATTAGGGGGATGGGGATCAGAATATTACATAGCTTCATGGAAAGTCAGGTAAATTCTATCGTGGCACGACCACATGACCAAAATTCTCCGGTCCCCCCCCCCCTCACTTTCCTGGTGAGAAATAAGCAAGCAATCACAGCTTTCACCGCCACTCTATATGCAGGTCAATGCAACCCCTGATGTGCGTGCGCAAGACCGAAATACCACAGAGCACAGGTTTGATGGTGCAAAGGGTCACCTGGGATCAGAGAATAACAACAGGCCCAAATCAAAGAATAAAAAAATGCTGCATGCTGCAAAAATGGTTCAACAAATGACCAACGTTACGACGTTCCTCTCTTCGTTTAAAAAGGAGTCAGAGTACGTTTTCGTGGAAATCCCAAAGCATCCTGATGGTAAGCTACCGCTGATGTTTTACCGTTGTTTAAAGAAGCTAAGGTTTTGGGTTAATATGTTTACAAGGCTTAACAATTGATTAACTGATCATCAAATAATAAGTTGCATGATTGATCTATTGATTGATTGATTGAAAATGACTCTAAAAATGAAGTGGTTGACAGACAATCTGATTGATTGATTGTCTATCTGACTGGCTGAATAGCCGACTGACTGTCTGGCTGACTGGATAACTGGCTTAACAACTGGCTGACTGGCTGAGTAAATGAATGAGTGATAATGTAAAGAGACCGATGAAATGGAAACTAACAGAACAAATATTTGAAATGAGTTGCTGACTCATCATTCAACGAGGGATGGGCAGATTACATGATCGACGAAATTAACTAACTGACTGACCACCACGAGTTCTCGGCAACTTTCAGAGAGCGACCATTTTGAAATTAAAAGCATTTATTAACCTTCCAGTTATGATTACAATTCCTTAACAGACCGAGCAGCTGACCTGGGATTTACTTTACATGGTGGTATTGATGGTCCTGTCATCCCTGGAGATCTCGGTATTTTCATCGACAAGGTGATCCCCGGCAGCTTGGCGGACAACAAACTGAGTCCTGGGGATAGAATACTATCAGTAAGCTAACTTCTTTGAAACAATGTTCAACATAATGACCACGAAGCAAATTAGTGTTGAGTACTTCTAGAGCTCCACAAGTTGATTCTAAATATTTTCATCATTATCAGTACTACTGCTGCCGCTGTCATCACAGCAGTTGGCATCATTGTCATCCTTCCACTCCTCCTCCTTGCCCTCTCCTTCCCCCTCTTCCTCTTCCTTTCGCATTTTCTTGTTCTTTTCCCTTTCATCCTCCTCTTCGCCATTGTTTTCATTCTCATCAGTTTGCTTCAGTTCATCCTCCTCCTTCTTATCCTCTTCCCTCTTCTATTATCTTTTCACTCCTCCTCACACCCCTCCATCCTCAGCCTTCCCCCCCCCCCTCCTCTATCACTAAACCCCATCATCATCCTTGCTCTGTGCCTACTACTCCTTTGGTTCTGTTTTTCAACAGTACTTTTTTCTATTTTAAGATAAACGGACTGAATATCACCAAAGTACCGCTGACATCCGCACGCCAGGCGGTGGGAAAAACTAGGGGTGTAGTCAAACTTTACGTCAGGAAAGCTCCAAGAAGACAGGTATCACTTAGCGTTTTAAGTGCATTACACATCTCTAACTAGTTGACTCCGTTTTATCGATTATCATATGATATCAGATTACTTCGATTGTGGTCTCCTATGCAGGCTTTTTGAGATTGTTGCGAACATGCTTCTGCTTGAAGGTAGACAGTGGAGAGTATGGGTATTGGACTCGCCAACCCCTGTGCATCGTGCAGACCTGTGCATGAAGCTTGTCTTCAGGTGTCAAAAGTAATATAACGTACTTTATGGGTAATTAAACTATTCTCGCCTTAGCAAATCATCAACCAAGCCATAAGGAAAGAAAACGAACAAGATGTTCCATTGTTCAGCAACGAGCAGATTGAAGGTAATTTCAATTTTGTTGTCTGTTGTGATTGATGAAGTTTGAGAATTTTGAATTTTCTTCAATGAAACAACTTCCTCGCGTGGCTGATGAAAGAATTAAGAAAAGAATGAATGACTAATTGACTCACTGAGTAACTTGAAAACGGACTTAAAGACCACATGACCACTGACTGAGTACCTGACTAACTGAATAAAGGGGGTAAGTTTCTGAAAAAAACTGAAGTACTGCGTCACCAGTGGAGGCTATCAAAAGTTAATTTGAATTGATTTTATCAACTGAGTTGATAAAGTAAACTGGCCACCGTCAACTGGAGTGTCTAAACGGCTGACGTTTCGAACGTTAGCCCTTCGGCAGAGCGAACTGATTCACTAATAGACTTGGTTGATTTTTTTATTGACTTCAGTGGCAGATTCAGACCTTGAGCTAAGGGGGAAGCCCGGTTTTTTCGTGTGTGTACACCCGCCAGCTTTTCTTCCCTCTGCGTTCATCTTTTTTTCCCCGAGATCTCCTTGATCCGCCTGTGGACTTGTTGGCTGATTGACTGACAGACTAATGGAGTTGCTTGCTTGTTAACTGACTTAAAAGCTAATCCCTGACTGATTAGTTGACTGGCCGAACAAGTTTATTCATTGAAGAGAAAAGCAATATTATATGTTATGTATGGCAATACCGCTGGCCATTATTCACAGTTATGTAATTGTTGAGTTATTGTTTGTTAACAAAAACACATTAAAACCACGTGGCAGAGATTGAAGATCCAACATGGCGTCAGTTCTATGAATATGCAACTTTATTATATTTCCTCTGATTTACAGAGTTCGAAGATGCTTTTTCCGTTTATGACGTACGAGGTACAGGAAAAATAAAAGTAGGAGCGGTTTTTCCTCTGATTCGTTCACTGGGGTACAATCCTCCCGAGGCAAAGGTGTGGGTCTTCATGAATGAACTGGATTTAACAGGTGGGATGTACTGCAACTGGTCGATCCAGATCGAAAAAAAATACAGCGGAGCAAAGTAAAAAGAACTTCAGTACTACAGTATAGTTAATTAGTAGACCACTGGTGTACAAAAATGATGTCGCACAACACTTGCGGAATGGAAAAAAAATTCACCTAAGGCTACTACGTGAGAATGAAGACATTGAGAAACATTTCCAACCACAAAGTCAAAGGGTCATAATTATCTGTTCGAGAAATAATGTGAAGGAAATTGTATTTTGTGCATTTTGGAAATGATTACACTTTACTGTTTATTCTCTCGTATCACCAGCAAACCGGAAATTAAAGTTTGAAGAGTTTGTGAGATTGATGGAGGCCTTGATAAATGACGAAAACGAACATGAACAACCATCACTTGACTCCATACGGGTATTTGACCCAGAAGAACTCGGCTACATTAGCTCTAAAGATCTGAAAACTGCGTTGAAAAGCATGCCGGGAAGTGCTCACGTGAGAGACTTTGAGCTTCGAGATATTCTTCGAAAAGCCGACCCTGATAGAGATGGAAAAATAAATATTCAAGGTAATTCTTTGAAGGGGGTTATAGATATCTCCTGAATTTATTTTTGGTGGACAAATATTTTTGGTGGAGAATGGAGCCATAACTTTACGGAAGAATGAGCCTTTCTGTGTCATTTTAGAGGACCGGTCATTATTTATTGCCAGGGATGGGAAGAGGATGAATTTTTGACAACCTGATCCTCCCTAAGTCTCTGTAATATTCTAATGATCCCCGTCATTGGCAGTTAATTGGTAGTCAATTTCCTATAGTTTCTCCTTTATACTCCCCTCTCCCATCCCCCTGAAAACCATGTGACCCCCCAAAATTTCTCCGACCCCCCATTGAAAAAGTAGTGACAGTTCCCTAAGAGGGACTTTTTACAGTAACTTTAGACTCGTTTTTGGGATAATTCGATAGTGCAGTAAGCGCTGAGTTTCAAGACTAAAGGGAATAAAACAATCAGCAAAAACTACTTAAACAAGATCAGTCAAAAAATAAAAAAAAGATTGAAGGATGAAACGTTTCATGAATTTCCTAAAAAATTTGGAAGTCGCATCTATAGAGGTTGTCATAGAGTACTTTAAACTCTCGAATCCTCGCCTTCTCTCGAAATGCACCCCCTTCGAATAAGCTCCCCTAGTATCTGTTGAATCAGGGAATCGACCACGCCCAAGAATTCGAAGAAGAAATAGGCATAAGGATGTCTAACCTTCCTTCTTTCTCTCAACAGATTTTCAAAGACTTTTAAGCTCCCCTAGTATCTGTTGAATCAGGGAATCGACCACGCCCAAGAATTCGAAGAAGAAATAGGCATAAGGATGTCTAACCTTCCTTCTTTCTCTCAACAGATTTTCAAAGACTTTTGGAACCCTCTGTGGGACTAAAATAGCTGGGGAAAATGGTATTCATAGTCCTTGTTATGAATATTGTAATTTCCAAATACAAAATATGAAGTGAAACTTTGGAGTGTTTAAAATTCCATCTACCACAGTGGAGATCTCAAAAGACCAGCTTTTAAGCCGAGGCCACAAGAGATTGGTGCAAAAAATGGAAAGGTAACAATAAAATGAAAAGCCTCAGACTTCAGAAATGTTAAACCTTTCACATATAAAAAAGTTTAAGGATTTGAACAGTGAGGTGTCAGAATTTTCCTGTCTGGAGTTACACCCCTTTCTTGTAATCTTTTTCAAACTATTCTTTAGGTCCTCTTAACTCCTCTATGGTTTATTTGAAAGCCCTCAAAACTTCGTTGTTAGGAATGTACCCTAGCACCCTCACACAAATTGCGTCCTCTTATCTCGATTATCTCTCTGTTCGGTTCGTAATCGGCGAAATGTTCGGCACGTCCTTACCCGTGAACAAAAATGGTACCATAGGAGGTACGGTGTGCAAATCTGTCAGGCGTTCCTGCTAATCGTGTGGCTCGCCCGCGAGGAGAATAGCACGAGTAACCACACGACGCGAACGGCAATGAATGAAACTTACATCATCTCGAATTCAAAAAGCGAGCATAATTAATGACAACTTATGTTAGAAAAATAAGTAAAATATGTATAAAATCGTTTTCTGTAAAGCCCCTATCGGTATCAAGAAGAGTGCTGCAGTGTATGGCGAAGGAATCATTTCAAGGCTTATCTCGTGCGCGCGAACTCAAAATTTCAGCGAATGACTTCAGTGGAAGCTTCAAATAGTCTTACCTTTGCAGTTGAATTGAAACGTTCAGTTGGAGAACCTTGGAACCAGAGCGCCGAAGTTCACGCAAATGGCGGCAGATGTAACCTCTGCATCATTTAAAAGACCAACTCCAATTCCGACGGCATGCATATAATTTGGTTAACTGGTAGCGCTGAACACTACTGTGGTATTTGCACCAGTAACATCGGTTGAATTTAATAAGACTCTGGTTCGTGAAATGTTTGAGGAATTTCAGTTTCATTTGGACAATCTAGAAACAAATCTGCTTGCTTATGATGAATGATCTGAACTGTTGTGTTTTGTGGAGCGTGAATGCAAATACATCAAGGTTTTGAACGATATCTAATGGCTCAATACTCTGTTTCCCAGCAACGTTGGTTAGGAATGTTGCAGTTTGTGGTAAGTGTACCTTGAGGTTTCTTCTGTGGTGTTAGAACTTCCTTTTAGGTTATCCTACATCAACCTCACTCTACTTACAAGTTATCTCGACATTCTGCAATAACAGGCCAATGACTTTATATCGCGGGTTAGCAGTAAGCTATACAAGGCTTTCTATAACCTACTGAGAATCTGGATATGGTAGGTAAAATAACACAGGGGCAGGCTGGACAATTTGAAAAGCAATTTCTTTTCGATAGAATGCTAGATTACATGAAAACATGTTTAAAATTGATCAAGAAAGGTGAAACAATTCATTGTTCTCCTTCTAACTCAACCCATGCTGACATATTACTTTTGCCTCTGTGCTCCAGACCTTAATTCGTGCAGCTTAGGTTAAGGGTGGAGAAAGATGAAGCTGGTGTGTGGCATGTGATTAAATGTTTAGATAATGAAAGTGACTATCTCACCTATATTTGCTTGTCTGCTGCCTAGGTAAAGGTGTTCAAATCATAGATATGACCACTTTTTAAAACAATATGGCAGCCATTTAAAAGGTTTAATTAAGACAAAAAGCACCATTGTTTGTTCAAACTTTTTTGAATAGAAAGGCTCTGCTTTGGTGTGGTCTTTATATTTATTTTGAGGAAATCTTACAAAAATTTAGTAAGCTGCCATAATTTTTCCTGACACTTTGCAATACTTTAGTAAAACTTTTAATATTGATGCAAAACCAAATTCTCCCAAGTTAATGTCTTTAGTTAAATTAATCTTCAAATAAACAACATAAACAACGTAAACAACAGCAGGATAAGGTATTGAAAACAATTTGCCAGTTCTTGAATTTCTAAGGTTTTTTAAGATTTCTCTCTTTTTTTGTTGCAGTAAATGTAACTCTTAATTTTACATCCCCTGGTCACAATTCTTAAAACTAATATCGTATTACATATGATTGAGGCACTAAAACCTCGACGCTATCAAAAAATAAGAGTTAAAAAGGGTTTTTACTCACTTTCCTCGTCCAAGAATGTTATCAATTATCAATAAAGTTTCACTAAGTGCTGTTAAAAGAACAACTTTTATTGGACAACAATGAGTTTGTGCATTATCGATAACGCACCTCAAGTATTTCCTTATCGGCGATTCTATAATCGATAGTCATTCGTTTATTCTGTGTTAAGCTCTCCTCCAACATGCGGGTAATTTCGCGGTTCTTGTTGCCATGGGGAAGCTTAAGGTTTTGGTACATCTCTATTCCCGTATACACACTGACCACGTGACGTTCCCAGGCGATACTCCACTCGATCCCAGGCTTCATCACCACGCCTCGGATTTCCATGATCTCAGCCTCCTCATCATCATCGTTGTCCTCTTCTGTTGTGGCTGGGTCTTTTTCCTTTAGGTCTGTATTCATTTTGAAGATTCAATTTCCGAGCTGAAGTTGTATCTATGGAAATATTTCAAGCAAGACCAAAGATTACAGCTATAAATGTTGCCTTGAGAAATTTCCGTCGGGCACTATTTACATCATAAATCGTGGCCGTAAATCACAGGCTACAGTCCAAACGTGTTTTTATTGTTAAATGACCAGTATTTCTTTGTAAACGTTTGGTTGCAACCTTGAACTCGGGGGAAGGGAGGACACTGAACTTTACCGAGGACGATTGTTAATAGACAAGAGGGGGAGGGAGGGGAGGAATTAACCTGCCCATCTCACTCTGACCCTGTATCAAATAAAGCGTCCTTTGAACGATTTTAGTTGGCTGCAGAAATCATTCTTTTGTTTAATCACGCCTTGGTTGTTGTAGTGGTTAATGCTTTAAAAGGTCGTCGTTGTCTTCAGTGTCGTCGTCAACAATGCGCTGTAAGGGTAAACCTTTATCATGGTTAATTGTATTTTATATGGTCTGATGTATTGTTTATCTGGAAGAGTTAATTAGTTTTTAAAGCGATAAGTAAGCGATGCTTTTGTTGGAATGTTCCGCAAGAAACCTCTTTACATTTCTTACTACGTATGATATTGAAACAGGAGCTTGTATTTCTTTGAACCTGTCAGACGGGTGACTTAAACATTCGTAGAATTTTACCGATTAATCTTCGGAATTTTGCACTTAATGAAGGTGACAATCAAAGGTCACGAAATGACAGATAGCAAAAGATTACGAAACGTCGGAAATAGTCAAAATAAGACGCTTTTAATATACAACTCTTATGCAAAAATATGCCGTAGAAGTTTGAACTGTTTTGCGCCGACTGATTTAGACGAAATTAAAACCGAAAAGGAGCTGTATTACTTGCTGCCAAGATTAACCAACGTTGTTTGAAATCAAAATAAGATTTAATTGTAATCTTTTGATCAGATCTCAAAATCCTGTAAATATTTGCTGTATGCTCGGGTTTTCTGTTGAGCACCGCCACTTTATTCGCGTGTAACCTCAACATTGAACGATTAGGGGTTTACGGTATCAAAATAAGGAGAACTTACGCTGCCTTACCAACATGTTGCAAAATGAACTGCCAAAAAGAAACTACCGTAACAGCTTCAGCGCCGATATGCCACATTCGGGCGGGGTGAATTAAAAGCTGTCTGTACTATTATGTTAGCATTAAAATTATCTGGCGCTCATCACGGTTGTTAAACCTAAGCAATATAATCCATCAAACCTTCGTTGCAAGAGTTTTCAATTTGATCTCATCTCTGTTAAGTTCGATTTATTGTACTTACAAATACTTCTGTGGCAGATGATCCGTGTATTCCTTTAACATCTAATACTGAGCTTTTGACGGTTCGATGGTTATGCATAAAACATTTGGTGCTCCTCACGACAGACGTATAAATAACGTGCGATGACAGCTATGAAATCACTGGCTTAGTTGAATAATGGATGGTAATTCGTTTGTTATTAATCTCGCGACTCGATACTGAGATCTCAATAGCTCGACAAATCACTAGCAGGCGCCATCATGGCTGCTGGTCTTCTTCGTTGTTGGAGAAACTTAAGCAGATCCCAACTGCATATTAGATCTTTTTTTGTCTAGGTTATGTTATTTTTAGACTCCCGACTTCAATGTACGGAAGCCGAAAAGGGACAATCCAAAAATATTTTTCAAATCCCGAAAAATATTTCAAATCGCAATATATTTTTTTAAACTCACTGTCGAAAAGTTTGACAAATCCAAAGATATTTTGCAAATCCAAAAAAATATTTAGAAACCCAAAAATTTTTTTTCGAAATCAGAAAATATTTTGCGAATACCAAAAAAATATTTTGAAATCCAAAAAAATGTTTTCAAAATCCGAAAATATTTTGCAAATCCAAAAAAATATTTTGTCACGTGCTATTTGCGCCAGCAGTCACCCAGCGTTTTCTTGCCATATCCCGCATCATCCCGCAT